CTTGATTTGCCAGAAAGACCTTTGATCAGGGTGACATGACACAACCTCCAATCATAAGTAATCTATGTTTCAAGTAAGAGCCTCCTATGATTTTCACTTACTAATTCATAACCTGGAAGAGAACATACTTCTTCTGTCAGTGACCTTGATTTCAACAGAATAACCTTGGCTCTTTGTCAAGACAAACCCTCAATCTGAAACAACTTTTAGAAATTCATAACTCTGACAGGTGTTTTACAACTTTTCTGTCATTGGCCCTGAATTTGTTGAAATGACCTTATTAAAGTCATCTGAAAACCGGCGGACTCTAAGCAATTTGATCAAGTATGAACTTAAACAAATATAGTCAGAATGAAAAAATACTATTTTCTGAGTCAAAATCGTAAAAAAAAACCTTTTTATCACAAGCAATCTCTGTATCAAGTATGAGCTTACAGATATTCTCGATTACATATAAATGAATGCAACAAAACATTAATTCTTTCTCAAGTGATCTTGAATTTCCCGTAATATTGCCTTGAATAAATACAATGACACATCCTAGGATCATTTGAAATCTTTGTATCGAGTACAAGCTTCTGGTTTCTTTATGTTATAGCCTATCATTCTGGGAAAAACTTTCAGGGACAGACAGAAATATGGACAGTTAAACAGACCGTTTCATTCCAGTCCCATCCCCACTACCCCCAAAATACACAATCACTTTGCAAGGGAAAACTCTAGTCATGATTTGAAAAAAAGTAATCTTTTTTATATCAGGAAGCTTTCATAAATATGGTTTCTTATACTTGCCCTGAAGGTCATAAGGTCATATTCATAAGAATAATATTTCAAAACGACCCCCTTTTTTTTAACTGACCGTTTTCTTCATTGTTTTCATTTCATATCCCCCAAGGTTGCCCGCATAACGCAGTGATTAGAGAGACTGCTCTATAGTCGCGAGGTAAGGATCAGCTCCTTACGTCGTGGTTTCGAATCCCACTCTGGGACGTGGGGACCTGTTCTTCCGATGAGACCGTATAAAACAAATTCCTGTGTCGGTTTAGGTGCTGGCACAAAAAAGATCCCTCCCTGCTCAAAGGCCCTATTAAGTGCCGATTATAAGACAATTAATGTTTAACTATGGTGTCGGTTATGATTTCAACAGTTTAAATTAGGAAATAAAAGTGTGTAATTACATGATAAATTTCTGATATTCAGTACATGAAGCTGCAGATTCTTATATAAGTTCTTAAATTTTCGATTCCGCACATACGATGCGGGTTTACTACTACTTACATGTTCATTGTATAGTCTGCTACTGATATTTTTAAAATCACGGAACAAAATTAAAATGTTAGCACACTATACTAATCATTTTCAGGTTTTGAATAAATTATTACACAAATTAAATTCATTGCTTTAAAATCTTGAATTATTTTTTCAACCTGTAATAAAAATGGGCATTGTGCAAGCACAGAAGTCACTTATGAAGTTTACAGGTGCGGAGATACTTATCGAGGTTTAGTCCATTTCATTGAGTATAATTCTAATTAGATCCTAATGAAGATTTCCTTTAAAAGTTTAAAAATGAAATAGCCATGGTAAAAATCTGTGACAAAAAAATGTGTTTGGGAAAATTTGTGTTGTAAACAGATTTGTTTGTGTGTTAAAAGCACAAAGAAATATAGGCTTGTGCATTTAAATCAATATTGGTTGAAGTTAACTAACCGCAGATCGCCAGTCCTTACACTATGAATCTTGTAAAATTAGATTTAACATTTGACCACGCTGTGTAAATTAATGTCAACAAGCGATGGAAGGAATGATTGGTCGCGTAATTGTAAACAAACACAAAGCCTAGATAGCTAGAAACATGTATCACGATCAAATTTAAAACAAAGATAAGCCAGCATATTAATCTCAAATATCCGACAAGAATAATTTTCCATTAATTGTAAAATAGTTTTAATACACCAATTATTTTGTCTATGACTACGCGGTCAATGGTTCGCCTCGGTGTGTAGCTTTAGATTTTCTTGGACACGTGTAATCGTAAGATTACGCAATGGTACACACGCTTAAAATCTGGGTTCCAGGTGAATGTGAGAATCGCGCGGTAAATAATTTTTGTATTATTTGACTCTTTAAAAGTTCTTTTTATTAGATCCAGGCGTTTATCGTTTTCGTTCATATTGTTTGTGTTCATATTTAAACGAAGAAAAGATACTAGTTCGTGCTTTTTCTATAACTCTTTCTCGTGGAAAGATCTTGATTAATAAAATGAAAATGATGCCATTGAATACTCTGCACGGGAACCAAGGAACACGTTTAAAACCTAATTTTAAAAAAGAGATATGATACAGCGTTGTAAAATATTTATTACTTATGGCAAGTTTACTGCAATTCTACGCATAAATACTAAAGAGTTTTCCTTCAATAGCAAGATGAGAACCGTCTAGCTTTCTTTCCTATAATACGCAAGACTCGAACAAATTAATATTTTCATATGACAGAGATAGTATTAAGCAACAATTTAATACATTTGAAAAAATGAATTTAACCATTCTGTGTTTTTATTTGTGTTTAATTGTGGGTCGCTGGATTACCCGCCGATTGATTCCCGGTGACCGACTTTAACCCACGTTATCGAGGGAGGCGCGTTATATAATTGTAAACAAACAAGGTGAATGTAAAGGCGTGCGCTTAGTAAACAAGCATGACAATTTGGGAAAAAAGCATAAAACACTTCAAGAACTTTATTCTAAAGAATATTAGCATCCAATGTAGCCATGATTTTTATTTAAAGTAAGTTTGTTTTATATACACGCATGAGAAACTCTCATTTACAAGCTGAGCGAAAAGAATTACCTGTACAGATTTTAATCATGACTAGAACAAAATAACAATTTCATAAGATCAGTAAGATGTTAATTCACAACTTTATTATCATAAGTCACTCGAAATATTAATCGTTTTTGAGATATATAGCAAAAACTTTCAAGGGCACTAGATCCCTAATTTTAGGGGCCAGCCCCTTTTTAATGATATAAAATGAAAGCTCTTGCAATTATGCACAACTTTTATTCAACATGTCTTAACAAAATATTTTTAGTTTTCAAGATAAAAAGGAAAATATGTGTAAATTTTCGCTCTTTTAGGCGTTCTATTTTTTGACCCCTATATAGCGCCATTTTGAATGCAGAAATCGAAAAACAAAAATAAATGTGCACAACTTCAATCCTTCTGTTATCCAAAACAAGTAAAATTTCTGCTTCAGCTTTTGTGGTCTCTGAGCCTTTATCCGGAAACGAAAGCCTATGATTTTTCGTTTAAAGGGAAATAACTCAAAACCGGAAGTGACTTTTTGAAATTTTAGTCATTATTCTGATAGAGTTTATAAACGTCTATAATGTCTGAAAATTTGAGCGAAATCCGTTGAGAAATGAATGAAATATGAGGCCTCAAAGTTGGCGTCTAGGAAGTAGAAGAAAAAAAAAGAATAATAATCTTTACCAACAGAATCAGTAGAAGGTCTTCCGTTGGAAACGGAAGACCTTAAAAAATAAAACTTCAGTGTTCATGCACACAAGTGATTGTTCCTCCATATTTTACTGTCCACTTTATTTATTTTTCTGCAGTATTTTTATCTTTGACCGGCGTCTTGTCATAGTTACCAAAAGAAAATATAAACTAAATAAGGATGAATAAATTCATATTAAAATATTTTTTTTTAAATAAAAGGGCCTCATGACAAAGATTTTACGCAATGCGTGTCTGTAGGAAGTAATTTCCATTTGGGGGCAAAACAAAGAAAAGTCATTTCGGGAGGATCGAGAGGGACGGACAAATAAAAATTCCTTGTTACGCATTAAGATTCCGTACATACGTACATGTATAGTTATCACGGGTGCTTGGGGACGGGGAAAATTCATACCCTCTGATACTGAAACGGAACGTTCTGTTTTATTATCAGAGTGTGTGGATATTTATACATGTACAAGGCTAATTTAAGCTTAAATTTTGGATTGTTCATTTGTAATCCTTTGTGATATGTCATAGAAAAATATTTCATTCTTAAAATGTCAAAGAATCCTTGGGGTAGGAAACACCCAGGGTGGGTGGTTAGCCCCCCCCCCCCCCGCCCCCCCAAAAAGCACCAGTGTGATAGCAAGATCTTCGGATTCCCACGGATGATAAATTTATATCCGATGATGCAGTAAATTCTATTGATCTATTCATTGTTTACCAAATTATAATTTACTTTTAAAAATCCGGTGTACATATATCCCCTGTTCAAACAGCCATGAAATGTATAGAAAAGAATTTTATAATTTTTCACGAGTGAAAGTCTTGGTCCCATCTATGTATGATGAATAAGGAACAATACTTAAACTCATTTGTTTGTAAACATCTCTGCGGTAATATTAAGTGATTGAGTAAAAACGATCAGGTATGACTAGTGTACATTCGCTAGGTTCTGCGATGATACTTGGTCAGAACTTTGTATGATTTTCATTTCAACCGTTACCGACTTTTCCTTGATTGACTCAAACATACAAAGCCTAGCTATTCTTTATTGAAAGATCTACACGTAACCCTTGTATATCAACATTTATGTTCCCTAAAATTCACCATTCTTTTAGATAATCAAGAGTAGTTACATACTATACTTATATAACTAGATTCCGTCGAGTGTCTCGAATGACGTCACAAAAACGGGAAGTAACTCTATTAGCGAACGTTATTTTTAGTGATATTCAAACAGGTAAATACAGAAAACAACGAGGTTTAAAATTAAAAGAATATTGTAATTCCCTCTTTTTAACTTTTATTTACAACATAAACCAGTTACAAGCATATCTATTTCCTTTGAATTTGACCTTTAAGTCTTCTTGTTGATTTGTTTACATGAATTATCTACATTCATTTATGGAATATTTGTACTTCAAGTACTAATTAGGTACAGAATTATAAGAATTTACTCCTATAATCAGTAGTAAAATAGCATGTGTCCTGACCTTGAAGCTTTGGCTAGATCTGATGACATTTCGTCAACAAAAGCCAGGGCGTCTTTATTTTCCTTCTCCGCCTCCCCCACCAGGTAATGAAGCAGTGTCACCCGAGGCTTGTTGGCCCTCGTGTCCATGAGCTTATTCAGGGAATTTATCCGAAACCCCATAGCATTTCCAGCGTATCCTCCCTAAAGGAATGTTCAGTAGACTCAAAAATACATATAACCTTGAAAATATTTGCTTATTACCAGTATTTTAAATCTGTGACTTTTTTGAGCAAAAGTTTCCTAAAGTGTAAGGTATGACATGCAACAAAATTTACGTGGGTTTAATGACAAGGTATTTGGATATCTAGAACTTTGTATCAATTGATAAAGATCTAAAGATTTACGCATTGAAAAATTACCGCGTTCATGAAATTTCCAGCATGTAAGACGTATCGTAGGAAGACTTTGAAGGACTCGTTCTCTAGAAGGTGTTGGCAGGCCTTCACCACGGCTTCAATGTTTGGTAACAGTGTATCCAATGTTACTCGAAACTCGTCTTTTAGAACCAAGCCATCAATACGAACTTTGAAGGACGCTAACTGTATAAGTTTGAGGAAGAATTTCTCTGCGTTCCCGAGTTTCTCTTTGTCTCCCTCAAAACCTTTGATCATGTTAACCTGATAAACATGAACGAATAGAATAAGAAAGAGAACTCTTAATTCAGAGGTTTAAAGTAGAGTCCCATTGGAACTGTGGATCAGCATGTGTTTACCTGATGATCGAATCAGAGGAAGAAGGTATTTTGAACAAACAAAAATTTGACAGGCACCCGTACCCTAAAACTAACTTTACTGAAAAAGACTTTTCTCGAATTACATGCCTGAACAACATTGTGAGGAACTCAAAGCATGGATGGCAAATATATATAACGATACAGACCTATATTGCTAGAGTACGTTTTGTAATGGATCTGTTTTACTTTACTATCTGACCTTTTCATTCTCAAGTCTATGATTTTATCCTACGGAATAATCATAACCTGTAATGATAGTAAATCTTCGAGGAATAAATGAGAAGGTTATAAAAAGGAGGTTCGACGACAAAGGACGTCTTGAACAATTCATTTGAAAAGAAAAACGTCTCTAATACATATAACCATATGTCTCTTTGAAGTATAGGTTAATGCTTAAAAACTGATAAAATACTGGCTTGAAGTGGGGATGCTGAAATTGAGTTTGGTACGTTGTGGTAAGAACAAGTAGGGTAGCCATGTATAGAGTGATATATATGTCGATAACGAACAGTGTTCAAGCTCAAAAGTCTAATTTAACAATACAAAATAGGAGCAGAGCAAACACGGACCAATGAAAAATCAGCAGTGAGATCAGGTGCCGTGAAGGAGAGAGCATCCCCTGCCGACCGGTCACACCCACCGTGTGCACCTTTATCATGATCGGGAAATAACGGGAAAATCCGTTTTTAATTCAATTCAGTGTGTAAATTATGGCCGAACAATTAGTATGAAAAACACCAGTCAAGTACCCGTGTTTTGCTCCCTTCCGATAAGTAACCTTCGCAGCGATGCCGATTGCTGTATTCTGTAAAAACTATTTTCAGAATATAACTCGTCTTTTATTAGAAGAAATTTAATGATCAGTTTCAAGACAAACACATAGAAAAAACATAAATAAGGCCTTCGTGACCAGGCTATAAAATACTTCATGGGCTTTATGGTTTATAAATCTGATTTACAACCTTTAAATTTTTTTTACTGTTATACATAGTATTCACTTTGAAATTCTAATTATGCTGCATGATATTTTTCTGTACTTGACACTATTTCCTTGGGCTTTTAACGTTCTTTTCTCTCTTTTATCCTTGTATTTTTAAAAATCTTTTCGAAATTCTCTAAAATAAGAATCTTTATGCAATTTTTATTACGTTTCTGTCAATGGCTCTATACCTCATCTGGCTCTGGAAGTATCTTTTGCAGACCGCGCAGGCGCTCTTGGCCAATAACGCTCACATCGCCTGCCTCAATCATGGACATAATTTCATCATGGCTGCACTTAAACTGCTTCAGGAAGATATTCACATTCATGCTTCGCTTTGTATCCAGCAGTAATATCTGAAATTTTTGATTTTATTCTTACAAGATGCGATCATTGTATTAATTGAATGCTCAGCTCCGACGATGTTTTGCAAATAAAACTTTCGATAAGAGGGCATATATCTTAATTAGTTCAATCTTGTGTTGATATAAACTGTATAAAAGACTCCATTACATAAGCAGCATCTCAGATCTTTAAAAAAGAAAAAAGTTTATCGTGGTATCCCTAAATTAAAATCGGAATACATTGTAAAGACACTTAATGATAAAAGTGGGCGTTTATTAGAAATCCAGGAGGCCCGTTCATAAAATTAATCACTGCAACAGTATTGGTTAGAGTAAAACGGAAATAAAATCGACATTTACACACAAGAAATTTACTTTTTTCGGTTTTCCCAAAGCTTTATTGAACTGTGGCACGAAACCTTTTGTAATTCACAGTTATTACTACTTCACATGGCGTATTTTGGGGTATGTAAGTGATTGGTAGGTTGATGAGGAAAACGCTCTTCTGATGTTTACAGTCTTACCTCTGATGGTGGTTTGGTTTTATTTTTCTCGTTTTCTTTCCTCTTCTGGATTTGCTTCTGACAGAACAGTTGTTCTAAAGCTTCATACTTTACACTAATCAGATCCTGCATATCTAGGATTTCTTTCCAGACATTTTCATGAGCTGAATTTTAGAGAGAAAAAAAAAGACTTATTCAAAGCCTCATATATTTTATTTCTATAGCTTAAGAGTCTTCAGCAATTTACATCTTGTCCTAACACAACAAGTGCACAATTTGTTACTCATTTCATTTATCAAAGACATTTGAAAGGCCACACTTACATGATATGGTGTGGGATGGAACTTTTGTCCAGTTGAATGTCTTCATTTTGTGTTTAGGAGTGGGAGTCCACATCTTAGAAGAGGTTACTTGACTACTGGAGAATGTTAATGGTGTCGGTTTTGACTTGATCATCCCAGGTGGAGGTGGTGGTGCGGGTGGCCCACAGCCTGGGGGTGGAGGAGGAGGGGGAGGTGGCCCACAGCCTGGGGGAGGAGGAGGGACTGGAGGCCCACAGCCTGGGGGTGGGGGAGGGGGAGGAGGAGGGTTAGGTATTCCCATACCAGGGGGAGGTGGTGGTGGCGGCGGTGGTGGTGGTGGGCCCACACCTAGGGAAGGTGGGGGAGGGATAGGAGGTTCCATTCCAGGAGGAGGAGGTGGTGGGGGAGGGGGTGGTGGTATAGCAACTTCTTGTGGATATGACAGATCTGATGACCCCATACCTGGTGGGGGTGGTGGTGGCAGGGGTGGGGGTGGTGGAGGTGGGGCTGATCCTCCATTTTGCTGAGAGATTGTAGATGAAGATGATGTTGACTCCGGAATGTTTTGATTTGGTTCTGTTAAGTCTATTTTTGGAGATGAACTGGAATGGATGCTACTTGATGGAGATGATAAATCATCATTCACAAAATTAAAACACTGGTCAATTTCCTTGTCAATTCTTTTAAGTGTATCACAGGATGGCTTTGAATTTTGATTCAATTTTGCTTCTAATGCTTTTTTCAAGTCGGCAGACATTTCTTTGGAGAGGCTGGAAGAGACGGTGTGTGCCGGGGGTGGTGCTGAGACCGATCTGTTTATTGGTGTGGGGTCAGTCTGGACAGCCCTGGACACCCCGGGGTATTTAGGTAAGGCCTCTGTACCCCCCACTGTAGCTCTGTTAACATGGGTCTCATCGATCAGAAAGGCACGCCTCACGGACGTCTCCACTATGTTCCACTGTACATCACTACAAAATAAAATACGTTTTGTCAACTTTTGGTCAAGTCTTCTTTATAGTATAAGGATTGCTCTACATTATTCAAAGCCTTTTTTTTTTAAAAAGCATATGCTTCGTAGTATATTTTAGATTTATTTAATTTTTCCGGATGACAAATGTTACATATTTATCAAAAAGTACTGCTTTTTGTTTTAACTTACTTTTCCATATTTTTCCTACCTTATATTTTTCCTTCCTTTTATTCAAACAT